CATAACACAGGCGAATATCTTCATGCATCATTACGGTGTGAAAGATCAAGGCAATGTGGACCCCGCTCAGGTTTGGGAATTTGAGGTTTTTATGAGAGCCAGAACATTTCTAACCATGTTAGAAAGATTCTTAGCTACAAAAAAAAAAAAGATATATGTTTATGTATTTGAAGAATTATTTTGGATTAATTTTCTAAGCATGTTTCTTCCATTTCCTTACAAAATGTTTTGCTTTTCCCTTGCTGTAATTAAAAAAATAAGGATATAGAAGAATAATGTGTCAAATAATTATAAATATTATTTGCAAATTTACAGTTCAACTACTAAAATAATTATTGAAATACTATTACAAAAGAAAAGTTTTGCAAATAGCTTTAGCTACACACTGTCAAATGAACAACCAGTCAATAATAATAATGTTTTGCAAACCATAAAACAAATTCTGTTTAATGATAAAAAAGTATGTTCTAGTAGAATGAATGTACACAACACATTTAATGTATACAATACCTAATTTGTGAACAAAGCAGATTATTTGTTTTTAATGGCAGGGATTTTTGTTTGTTATGTGCATTTACTGATTTGTTACTAAAACTTTTTAAAACTCCATGGGGGTGTTTTTGTAGGACCCCCATGGAGAGCTGCAGGGTCAAAATGTGCTGATTGTGCGTTACTCCGTGGAGCTCACCGCTGCTCACTTTGGCATCAGCGTGGACAGACTGTCTGAGCTGCTGTCCGATGCCAGAGCCAAGCTGGCCGAGGTACGGAGAGCACGCCCACCTCCTCACCTGGACACCAAAATGCTAGCTTCCTGGAATGGTAAGTTTCCCACATCCTGATTGGAAGAAAATAAATGTATCAGCCAGTAATATACTGCTGGAAATCCCAGCGCACTGAACCAGGAAAATACTCTAATTAGAGTTAATTGCTTTTCTTAGAGTGTTTTGAAATGGAAACAGTCATCAATTAATCAATGAGAGGCTGAGGCATGAAGAAAAATCACAATGCTTGCATCCCCCAAAGCTATATGTACCCCCCTTCCTGTCTTTACAATTTTATTGATTTCATTTTGCAAACAAGGTCCAGTGTTTGACAAGCTCTGTAAATGTTATTTTGTTTTTTTTTCGACTGAGTTTGCCTTAATAGCAGCACTATACTGTTAGAGTTCTTTCATGGGGTGCTTAGATGTGGTGCCAAGCCTTTAAAAGCCCACAGAGGGGACCTCTGGGTTGTGGTCTTTGCCCTCGTTGTCTTTAATGAAAGGATATCAAAGCATTCACAGGGTGCCAAGGCCCCTTGGGAGCTCTGGCTGACAAAAGTGCTCAAAGAATAGTGACTAATGAGCTGATATCTTAATTAAAGAAAGCATGAGACATTGTTTAATGAAACTGTTCCTTCCTGAGCTACGCTCCATTACATTCTTAATTCATACCGACTGGATATTGGTACCTGCAGAGGATCTCTCCGCATTAATCAAACCTGATAGGCCCACTCGCATAGCCGTGAGACATGTCAGGGCTACAGGCACATGGAGCTCTGACAGGACTATTGTTAGTGATCCCCAGCCCTCTGAACACATTAGATCTTATAGTCTCTTAATGTCTCCTTTCAAAACTCCTCTGTCTTGGCTGGCACCTACTGCACCTTTATCAAAAAGTTTTTAGCCCTTGTTGGGGGCGAGTTTCATTATCTGAAAGGCAGAACTCTTCCAGAAAGTTTTAAATAAGCAGGTTGTTGAGTTTGATTGCCCAAGTACTTTTGCTGGAGAAACCACAGACAGAAAATGGCTTTGGCATTCCAAGAAACTTGTTTTCTAAATTGAACACGGTCAGGTTTTCCAAAGCTTGTAATCTGTGTCCACTCCCATTTCTTTGGTTGGTCAGGACTGATGCTGTCCGGGTTTGCACGTGTCGGAGCCGTGCTGGGCGACAAGGCTCTGCTGGAAAGAGCTGAGCGAGCAGCTTGTTTTCTCCAAGAACACCTGTGGGACGAAGAGGGCCAGAGGATTCTCCATTCCTGTTACCGTGGAGATAATATGGAGGTGGAGCAAGCGTAAGGAACATTTCTGGCTGTCCCAAAATAAAATGTATTCAGCCTGCAAAAGCACTGAGGCTGATATAAGAATAGTTATAGATTGTAAACTGCTAGTTTGTTAGCTTCAATCTAATTTCCCAAAATTATGAAAAGAAAAGCCTATTTAAAATAGGAAACTTAATTGGGATGTTAATTTGGCAAGTTTGTCAATGGAGAATATAGAAAGGGTGTTTGGGGATGTTTTTATGTTATTACATATTAT